TCTAAATGATTTCTTTTATGCACTAATGCCCTAAATATTGCAATACTGACATAGGGAGTATAAACAATGCAGCAAGACAAGGATTGGTGTTATATCTCTGAGAGGGGAAATAATGACACCCAAGATGATTTATTTACTGCATTCATGCAATCACAAATGCCCAGTGAATGCTGATTTCACATTGAGGCCACTGGCATAATGAGTCAGGCATTAAATGCACGAACATTTCTTTAGAACTGCTTAGCTGAAGTTTATCACGATCATTCAGCCATTGCCTAGCAACTTGTAAAGGCTATCAAAGAGCTCTTTGTCCTCAGTCCTGGCAAAAACAGCTCCTCACAGCTCTCCTTATCAGCATTAGAACATTTATCAGAAAAAAATGCCTTCACTGAACCAGAGAGTGCTACAAATTTAAAGCTACCCTCTTCTCATTTTGCCCCTTCCTCCAAGTAGTTCAGGAAGCTATTCCCTTGAAGTAACTTATGTTGAAGTTTTATATTCTTTTTAAACATCCCAGAGAAATTTCTTGAAGATGCTCAAATTTTTATTGCTTTATAATCAATATTTAAAATGTAGACATGAGCTTCTAAAAGTGTATCTTCTCATTAATAAGAAAGGCAGGCATTACCTAGACAGAGTGACTGTTCTAAGTACACATGTTATAAATGTGTTGGACTTCTTGGCTTGAGGAAAGGCCTCTTTGGAGAAGCAAAGATGCCTAAATTGCTCTATCCAGTTGGAAAGTGGTCCAGAATGTCATCTACAGAAGAGGAACTCTACTTATTGTTTCATTCAACAAATACTTAACACCATCCATGTACTAGCCACTATGGAAAGGAAAAAACAGGCTCCATCTCTTTCATAGAACTGCCAGAATTAATCAATTACCTGGAGTGGTTCTGGTGATTAAAGTGTTTTGTCTATCTGATTGGCTTTGGGATCTGCCCAGGGGATTTGGTGGAGCATACTTTAGGGTATATGGGTAAGGTGGGGAGGCATGACCCTGGGCTTTATGTCTGCTCCCTGGCCTTTGACTTTCTGACAGTGTTTTCTGCTTTGCTTCCCAACCACCATGAACTAAGCATCTTTGCTTCCCCCCACCCCTCCGCCAGAACGTTTCTACCTTCGAGCCAGAAACTATGGACTGAATCCTCTGAGACCATAAGCCAAATAAAACTTCTCCTCCTTTAACGTGTGGGTGTCAGGTATCACATCCTAGCAACTCAAAAGCTGACTAATATGGTGCGGTAAGGAACATAAGGATCCCTGAGTGTTTTTTACTATATATCTATAGTTCATCTTCCCTTATACACTAGCTGTCATTGGTTCAGTTGAATGCCTTGTCAAGTTTATTATTTTTCACCTGGGTAACCCAAACAGCCACTTGACTTTCTTTCTTCTAGACTCACCTCCTCAAGCTATCTTCTGCCCTCCTATAAAATACAAACTCAGTCATATGCACTCCTTCTGAAAACTCATGCACTGGGAAGAGGTAAATAATCCCCAGCATGACATTCTGGCTCTTCTGTCTGAAGCCACTGTCTGACTACCCTGCCCACATATCTGACCTGCTCTTACCAGCCCCTGAGTTTCAGTTGTACCTAATCTTTGTGGTTCTGGAAGCAAAGGCACATACTGCTTTGGGCCTCTGTGGTGGTTATGGCATTGTTAACTTTGATGGTCTTTGGGATCAATCCCAGAGGTTGTTGGAGCAAACTTCTGGGTAGATCCGGGTGGATCATGGAGGTTCAGCCTCGGGTCTATATCTAGGCCCTCACTATTTCTTTCTGGCATTGTTCCCCTGTTCTGCTTCTTGGTCACCAAGAACTAAGTGACTTTTCTCTACCTTGCCATTCTACCATAATGTTGCTGAATTAGGAGTTAAATTAAATCTCTCCTCCTTTAAGTTACGGATGTCAGGCACAATGTCTCAGCAAAGAAAAGCTCACTAATTCAGCCTCTGAGGCTGGCACCCACTGTTCCACCAGCCTGGAGCCTTTCTCCTTCCTTTGTAGTCTATCCGTTTTCCTGACCATGACCCCAAACAGAGCTTGTGGTGACTTGACTGGGGCCATTGTCACCCTCTTTGTCTTGGGGTACATTTCACTACATGCAGGACACAGCAGCAGCCTTATACCTAGGTGTGACTTAGAGAAGCACTTATCATGTACTCCTGCCATGCGCCTAATTGCCTGAAATGTCACAATTAGATATTTGCTTCTCAGACTCTTAAAAATATGTGCTGTCTTAAAATATTAGTGTTCTACAGAGAATTTTCCCCTCAGCAGTAATAGATTTATCTTGTCCTTCTGGGACTCAGAGGTCTGAGGGGAGGAGTAGCAGTGGGAGAAGGGACACAGCAGAGGGACGAAGACACCTTCCCTCTTTTCCCTGGATTTGCCTGTCACGAAGACATCCAGCTATGCGATTTCCAGTAGATGAGGTATTAATGTCTGCAATGTGATGGCTGTTTTTACTGATGATAGAGTAAAATAAAAAGGCTTGAAGTTTTAAGAGGGAGTTGATAATAAGATGTCTATAATTTACATTCAAGGGGAAGATTTCTCTTCATTCGTAAAGTGAAAGTTATCTGAAAATAAGGTGGGTTCTGCTGAAATATGCTTATATGATTGGTGATGGAGGGCTGATAGATGACCTGTAGAATTCCCTGTGAGACTGTGGAAAAGAAATGGGGAGTAAATCATGTGGAACAAGCTTATCTTTGCGATGGATCTCCTTGCTACAGTGTGGGGCTTGTTACTTACATGGAAATTACCTTGATAAAGTGATTATGACTGATGGTTATGCTAACCAGGTGGACCAACCTCTTAAGGGAAGAGGAATCAGATTGGAAATAAAGGATCACTTTATTCAGATTGCCAGTCTGATCTGTGACGTACTGTGATTGAGAGTTTGCTAGGCTATACATCAATCATGATAACCTATAATATAAAACGCCAGCATATACTTTGAGCTGAAGTGTACTCCATTCATCTTAGCTGAACTTAAGTGTGATGTGAAGTAGTCATCTGGCAAGTAACTGATAAACTAAATCACCATAAATGGCTAAATCTCATCCCTCCAAAACCCCACTCCACCAAAAAAAAAAAAAGCATCACAAATCAGGACTAAAAAAAAATTTCCAGAATGATTATCAGATTAATGAGATAATTACACAGCTTCCACTCCTTAAACTTCTCATCGAGACTTGCCTGAGTGGCTCCAGACCAACATGCCCAGGAATGTCTAATCTCTGTGAAGCAGGTGTATCCATCCTAGCTGCTATTAAATAGGAGCCCTGGCTTAGAGTCAAAGTTTAGCTTCTGAATTTGATTTGAGATTAGAGCCTATAGCAGGTTACTCTTGTTGCTACTTTCTTTAAATTCACAAAATGAAGTTTAAGGGCACAACTTCCTTTTGCAGTAGAAAACTACTCAGTATGTTTGATGCTTCTGCCTAATATAGGTGTTGGTACAGTGACCAGCCAAGACTGAGTGTGTGGTGTATCATGTTTTGAAGGGACATGATTTGCCCTTTTCTAAAAGACATTTGAAAAGACAGATAATGTATTTGTGAATGTAAGAAAAAAAATCACATAGTAGGCCCCAATTCCATATTTTATTTTATAGGGAACATTTAAACCCTAATTAGCTTTATAAATAGACCTGGTCTCCTTTCTTCAGCCAGCAATCTGAGCTGAAATACAAGTCTGTTGTTGATTCAAGCTGGACACAATGAGGTCTGGGTGCTTTCATGCCTACTTAGCAGCCTATACCATGTGGGAGACTTTCAAAAGGAGAAAAGTGGAACAGTAAGAAAATAAAGGAGGCTTCTGATTCAGCAGAAATGGCTCTGTACCCATTAACAGCATCCACGTTATAATCAGGAACTGCTTCCACATTAAGTATTAACGTTCCAGCCATGGGGGGTTTTCTCTTAATCACTTTGTAAGCAAAAGCTGTCATGCAAACCACGGCCTGCTCCGCATCCTGGATACTGGGTCGCTGTTAGTTCTGGAATTCTGGAGAGTGTGCATGCTTGTTCTTACCGTATTTTTATTTGGTTGAAAGCCAGCAGTCACTGGCTCACTACTAATTATAACTCATTGCCTTTCAATGTGAAGAGTGTTTTTTTGAGTTGTGAAGAATTCTGATTGTCAAAAAAAAAAAAGTCCCCATTGTATTTCACATACAGATTTACAAGAGACTTCCCTTTACCTCAAATAAAACCAGGTTTAAATTTTATTTTTTACAACCTTGATTTTTCTTTATGTTCCTTTAGGCATTTGTTCATTCATGGCTGATTCTAGTTTTTTTGTTTCCAAAATGAGAGTTAAATGCCTATGTACAGTTCCATAAGAATCAATGGTGTGGACAATAGCTATAAATAATGTCAGTTGTATACGTTACTTATCTCTCTGTTCAGTGTAAGATTAAACTTTTAAAGAAGAATTTTGTGACGTATTAGTACATCTTTCTGTTCTGCACAGTGTGTAGTCAAAATATCCTAAGATTGTGTTCATGTCTGTGTTTATGCTCAGGTAGGGTTTTCTGGGTGTAAAATAGTTTAACCACCCCCTGTGCTTTATCACTGTACATTGTGTTCATTTCTCTGTGAGAACAAGGAATAAGAGGAAGGAGGAGATCAATACTATTTTTGATAAATTTTACCTTTAATAGACAGAGCCCTTGGGCCTCCCTATTGCTTCTTCTTATTAAAGAAATAAAATCTATGTAGCAAGGGTGTTTTATTCTTTCTTCATAGCTGCATAGAAAAATAGCTCTAGGTATTATTTTAATGTTAGAATGATATTGTGTGTTGGTGTATATAAGATGATGTCTGGGTTTTAAACCGAATATCATCTCTGCTCATTGTTGCCCATGGTACTCAGTTCTCGTATTGTGAGCTTGGTCCTCATCGATGAGCATCCATGGAAGAGAGCATCTGTGGAAGGCCTCGTGCCACCTTCCCTCAGCCCTGCCTTGTGCGCTTTGTTGCAGGTGTGCACTGTGACAGTGTTTGCGCCGAGGGACGCTGGGGCCCCAACTGCTCCCTGCCCTGCTACTGTAAAAATGGAGCTTCATGCTCCCCTGACGATGGCATCTGTGAATGTGCGCCTGGGTTCCGAGGCACCACGTGCCAGAGAAGTAAGTGTCTCATTAGGCAATAAGTTCCACCTTCCCTTCCGGACACACTATGGACGGAAAGATGATCTCTATTCCACCCCTTAGTTTATAGCAATGTTCTTTTACAACCAAGGTTAGAGGAAGGTGTGATAGGTCACTCATCCTCTGCAGAACTGTCCTTAACAGCACTTCCCCAAGAACTTTACTCTTTTTAACCTTCAGGACTCACCATTTCTTCGCAGTAATACTTTCACTGCCTCGTTGGCACCATCATCAGGACATGATTCTTCCTTAGACCTTGCACATGGTGTTCTAGAAATCCATTGACCTGTAAATATTTTATTAAGCAATTTGGCATTGGCCTTACCTCAATTACCAGAAGTCAACATCAGCCAAACCTCGAGGCAAATCATACATCCTGCTAGCAATCTTAAAGTCAGTGCTATGGGGAAAACAAAATTGCAAAGTTAAAAATGGGGACTGTTGACATTGGTCAATAGAATTCTTGAGTTAGGAAATTACTAAATCTTTTAGTAAATGCAATTTTTAAAAAATACGACTCATTATGAAATATACTACATTAATCTCTTAAATTGCTCCCCTTTTCCACTTAGAGCTTTGTGTAGTCCTACTTAAATCTAAATAAAGTCCTGGGAAGCACCTAAGTCTGTAGCATTTTGCTTATTTACTTTCCAATCACAATTGTCAACCTAGATCATTTTGAAGAGGAAAGATCTAATTTTGACTGTGGATTTATTAATTGTCAAAAATTATTCATAAAGAATAAAGGATGAACAAATAATTTGGGGGTACTTATTTGGAATTACTGGCATTTAGAATTGTAATTCCTTCATTCTTCTATCCACTCAACAAAAGTTCTTTGAGCTCTGGCTTCTGCCCAGCCTTGAGTTAATTACAGGGACCTTAAATTGGAAAATAAAGAGGACTAAGACATCTGCTTGCCCTGGAGGAATTCAGAGTGGCTTTAGTGGCTTCTTTATTAAAGAGTGCCCTTGTTCCTGCAGTCATTCTTGTCTTGGAAAATCTTCCATATCGTTTTTCTTAAAGCTTTTTGTTTTTCCTTCAAAACTTTAATGAGATCTTGATGTAGAAAATGAGATAGATCTATCTCAGAAAGATAATAGTTGATTTCCATTCTATTTTCAGTCTGCTCCCCTGGTTTTTATGGGCATCGCTGCAGCCAGACATGCCCACAGTGTGTTCACAGCAGCGGGCCATGTCACCACATCACAGGCCTGTGCGACTGCTTGCCCGGCTTCACCGGCGCCCTCTGCAATGAAGGTGAGGCTTGTGAGCATTTCAGAGAAATGCAGCCATACTCTCTCTGTTCTTAGACTTCCGGTGGGTGTGTTTTCGCCCGTTAGCTCTTGATGGCTCCTGGTTGAGAGATGTGCAGCTTCTGAAATGACTTTGAGCTTGGGGAGCGCTGGCTTGTGCCAGCAAGACCTCTTTCTCTCTGCGGTGTGCTAGTCTTTGGTTGTATTTGGGAACATCCTCCCATGAAAATTTAATATGAGGAAGAATTTTGACACACTGAGTGAGAAGCCAGGAAGTCAGCTTTCTAAAAATGTGGTGAGGTCTCCTGGTTTATTATCCTTAATGAGCATCCTTAGCTTTGTGGGTTTATAAAAATGAGCCCATGTAGAATGAGGGATGATACTGGACAGAGGCAGCTGCTCAATGGGGAGCTGACCTAGTGACCTTTGAGGTCATTTCCTGTTCTAAGACCAAGGATTCTGTGAGATGGTTTGTGATTGTGACTTACTGACCTATGGTTTATTCACAGTGTGTCCCAGTGGCAGATTTGGGAAAAATTGTGTGGGAATTTGTACTTGCACCAACAATGGCACCTGTAACCCCATTGACAGATCTTGCCAGTGCTACCCAGGTTGGATCGGCAGCGACTGCTCCCAACGTAAGTCTTGTTGCAGAACAACTGAACAATGATTCTTTGTTTTCAAGGGCCTCAGGATAAAGTGTGTTTGTACAGTCGTGAAAGAGATATGACCAGTTACAAATTGCATTGTAGTTGTTAAAATTTCTTTCCTTCTGTTAAGAGTTCTGTGCAGTGATTCTAGAGATAAATCCAAATGTGTTGGAAAAAACCTAACTAACATTTTGTTGACTCACTTTTCAATGATTCACCACCCATTGATTTAAGACAAAAATAAATGTAATTAAAAGTCCACCTCTTCATTGTGCATTTACCTGGAGAGTTAATGCTGAAGGAGTTAAGATGCTGAATTTAAAAGATGTGAGCCTGAGAGACTTGCTTTTATCTCCTGACCACGCTGCCCATCTATCTGCAGTTCACATTGCTCCACTCAGGTGTTTGCTCTGCCTCTGAGTCAGACAGGGTTTGCATCTGAAGAGCTGTGCAGATGACATAAAATTACGCAGGTCACGAAAAGATGACACTGACTATAAGTCATTGGTTTACTTCTGTGAAAGAGGCAGAGTGCGACTTCGCAGCTTTTGACTATGGATAGTCTACGTGCTGTGCAGGGAGAATCTGGATCCAGCCAGTAACATTTTCGTAGAACATTCTCAGTTCTTGTTGCATCCACCTATCAAGCACATAAGAACACAAAGAATGACTACGTACTGATTTTACAGTGTGGTTTATTAACCGTTAATTCAGACTCTGCAGTTATAATCTATCTGTAAGTATTTATTAATGAGTGACATATTTTCTCCTGAAGGTTTTTTCTAAAAGTACAGTTTTGCTTGATCAGTTCAGGCTGTGTCCCATTTGTGAGGAGTAAGGAGACAAAACCCACTGATCTTGGCAGTGTAGCTCTGCAGAGAAGCATCAGTAGATATAATTCTGTGGTGTGTTTCACTGTCTTTTGGGGGCATCATTGCAGAAGTAGCGGCAGTTTGTTAAATCTGCATGTGTTGCGAGGTCTCTGGTTGAGGCCGGCATGTGGACAGGTCAGAGGAGAGATACTAAAACCGAATGGCAGGATTTGAAGAGAAAAAATAAAAGACCCAATACTACTGCCATTACATGATTGATACACTTTGCTCCTTTTAAAAGTACCCTTTGTTTTGGAAGCTGGCCACTTCCTCATTTGGAGAAGGAATGTGCTGGAAGGAACAAAAAAGGGTCCCCACTAGGAATGGAGACAGTAGTGTTGCCTGTCGCGTAATCACTCCAGAGGAAGGTGATTTATTTGGTGAAGGATTTTCCTTCTCACGGAGGAAGACTTCGTTGATTCCCTTATGAACTCTGTGCAGCCATCTTAATACTTCTTGGCTAATTGTCAGCCTGTCTAAAGAGAGAAAAGTCCTTCGTCATGAAAAGAGTAAATTTGAAAATTAAAGGGGTGCATTTAAAGGGGTACATTTGGCAAAATGATTTTTTACAGCCCCTTTTCAACATTTACCTTTGGGAATGTAAACCTTCTGTGATTCTTATGCCAACTCTCTAATCACGACTAGTATACCACAGCAAGGGAGGCCGATACAAGTAGGTTACCTACACGTGCTTCGTTCTTGCCTTCACTACTAAGGTGTTTATCTCTATAGCACTTACCATCATTGCTTTTTCAGTTGGTTAGGGCATTGCCGATCTCCTCACCTAAAACATAAGCAACCCGAGAGTGGTTTAGACTTTGTCTGGTCCTCCACTATCTCCCTGTGACTAGTGCCTAGAACAGTGCTGGGCACACAGGAGGTAGTGTCTGTGCGTCTATTTAAAAATTGAGCTGATTCTTGCTCCATTGCCAAGCTCTGCAGTTGTGAATGAATATGTACGTCAGTAATGATGGTCATTGGTGAGGTCAATTGCTTTGTGGGTTTTAATGTAGAATTTGGGATTTCTGAACTGAATTGTGATCTTCATGTGTGTTGTTAGGTCTAATGTACTCCGCTAACCTCTCTTACGCAAGGGGATGTGTAGGGCTAAGATGGATCTCTCTCTGCCTGGCACTGGCCTCAACACTCTAACACACCTCTCCATGCTTATTGTGGTTTCAGCCTGCCCACCTGCCCACTGGGGCCCCAACTGCATCCACACTTGCAACTGCCACAATGGGGCCTTCTGCAGTGCCTACGATGGAGAATGCAAATGCACTCCTGGCTGGACGGGGCTCTACTGCACTCAGAGTAAGCCTGGGCCTTCGGAGGGTCATTACAGGGTGCATCGAGGAGGAAGCAGCCTCACTCTGCATGCACCGGTTGGGTTCCCCAAAGGTCTCTGGCATGGACTGCTTTGTTTACACGGTGATCTCTCTCTAGCATCCAAACTGCTGTAAGTGGTTAAGACCAGCTTTCTTCCAAGCATTCTGTCTCCAGACTGAACAGGGACCATGAGGTGGGAGCAGGGCTATGTGTGATGGTACATAATTTCTTTCTCTTTGCTCCTTTAACCCAACCCTGTGGATGAAATTCTGTATCATTTCTTCTGATAGCACGTAGGTTAAGATAAGTAATAAAGGTTAGAAAGGTAGTGAAGACAGTAAGGCTCACTGCCTAGCAAGGCAGAGTTAGAGAAGATGCAGTTCAGTGGTTCTCGAGCTTCAGCAGGGTTCGCAGTCACCGGAGAAACCAGTGCAAACAGAATGCTGTTCTCATTCCCAGAGTGTCTGATTTAGGAGATCCAGGCTGAGACCTGTGGATTTGCACTTCTGTCAGCTGGCGGCAATGTCAGCCCAGGCCCATGCTTTGAGAAGCAGAGCTCTAGTTATTTTTCCCACTTTGCATCCCCTATTGTCCCAACCATTTTCTTCCACGAGGCTTTTAGCACAGGATATGATGTGCAAAGCTCTCCACAGCTGAGCATTACTGGGGGAAAATTTTGCCCCTCTTGCTTTTAACTGAATAGATGAGACCAGATAGAGACGTGTATTGTGGTTATTATTAATAATAATATATAATTTAAAATGTTAGCAAAGGGCTGAGAGGAAAGATGGGTCAGAAATTAGGTAATTCTTATTTAACACTAATAAGTGGACATAAATAACAGTCTGAGCAAGACTTTTGGAACTTTCTACAAGGGAGAGTCACTGTTGAACCAAGATTTGAAAGGGAGCATTGGCAAGAAAAGAGATTGTCCCTGGAATATTTTCCAGAGATCATATATCAATAAAAATTTTTAACTACTTAGAGAAGGTACTGCTAAAATACTGTTTATAATTCTAAAATTAGGGCTTGCCTCAAACAGAGGACCTTTTAAATGGACATAACATGGTGTCCCTGTGTTTGTATTATAGTTCTGCCTTCCTGCCATTTGCTAGCATGTTTGTTAGGCACTGTCTGTAAGATGGGAATAGCCCTCCTTGCATTTCTGGGCTGCTATAAAGATTAAATGAGAGAGTGTATGAGAGGAATCTGGCAGAGGGAACGTGCTGAATGAACAGATGAGATTCAGGATGCCTTTACTTGCTGGCATCTGTATCCTGCCTCTGCTTGTGAAAAGTTGGGCTTTCACCGTAAGAAAACAGGAAAATAAAAGGCATGTGTGTTATTTGGGAACAACCATCGAATCAGCCTGCATCCAAGCTTTATTGTGCCGGAGAGCCGTGCAACTCTCTGCAGCGCAGCTGCTAGCCCTTGTAAACCAGCAGAGCTTGTGTGCATCTTTAGCGCAAGGGTCCTCAGGGTTTAAGGCTTGGAAATCATTCAGCAGTGTGAAGACTGCTTGCTTTTTCTCAAAGCACCTGTGAAGCGGAGTTGTTGTTTTTAAGGTAAGCGTTCAGCCACACATCTTTGGTGGTGGTGATATATTACCTAACTTAGTAACAGGTACAGCAGGTAGGTCCAGTAGCAGAGTTGGAGGCATCTTCTACTGTAAGCAAAAGCATACAGATAATTTTAATATAAAATACTCACTTCAGTCTAGGGAATTTGAGTCCAAGATTGTAGTAGTTGAATGAAGGATGAAAGAAAGTACCCCAGAGTTCCCGGGTTTCAAGGGCTGCTTTGTTGGAAGACACAGGCCTTGCCCTTAGGGTAGCAGAGGTGGTTTACACTGACTGGTCTGGAACTCTTTGGCCTTCTGCTTGTGAATTATAACCTTTTTGCAGGGCCTATATTTGGACTTCTAAGAAGCCCTGTGAAAAGCTGAGATACACACTTTTGTCTTTGCTGTCAAATGGCTCGGCATCCTTCAAGTTTAAACACAAATATGTTGCAGCTGGAGCTGTGTTTCTGACTTCTGCTGACCTCCTTGCACAGGATGCCCTCTGGGATTTTACGGCAAGGACTGTGCGCTGACGTGCCAGTGTCAGAACGGAGCTGACTGCGACCACATCTCCGGGCAGTGCACCTGCCGCACGGGCTTCATGGGCAGGCACTGCGAGCAGAGTGAGTATGGGCGCAGCCTGTCCCGCGGAGGTATTTTTTCCCCTTAAAATCAACTCCGCTGGGTTTCTGGAGCTGTTAAGGCAGATTGCCGTGGCTTGTAAGTTGTAGGAGGGGATGGCTGGTTACTTACTAGCACAGAGGAGCTTCCTCCCAGGGACTGCCTCTCTGGAATCCTGCTGCCTGTCTTTGCCTCTAGATACTTCATAGTAATTAACCGCTCAGCACTGGGTGTAGGAGGTGGAAATGCCAGAAGGAAGGCAGAATTCAAGTTTTCCCTTCTGTTCTTTCTGGCTGTCCTTTCTCTTTCTATCTTTCTTCCTTTCTTTTGTTCTTTCTTCCTGGAAGATGGCTACTCAGAAACAGTCCGAATTTCTTCTCGGCAGAGCCCAGGTTTACGCCAGAGAACAGAGCATTAGGTGGGAGGAAGGGGGCCTGGGGTCAGCACTGTTGCTGGTGTGGAACCAAGTCCACGCAAATATTGTCACCCCTTTGACAGCCCTTTCTAGACAGAACTTTTATATTGTTTCCAGATAGCAGCTTCTCATCTTAGTCCTGACCTTCAAACTCACCTTTAAGACTTTTTTCTTAAGTCCTATTCACAGAGAATGTGCTCTGTTGGATTATCCGCGCTTGTTTTTCCATTTCCACTTCCCCGCTACGTATCTGCTCACAGGGTTCGCCTTAAAATGAATGTTTCAAGTGAGCTTGTTTTTGCTTTCCTCTGTGAAGCCGTGCGGGTCTCACTTTCTTATGGTAAAAGCTGTGTGCCGGGGGTATAGCTCAGCGGCACAGCGCCTGCCTGGCGAGCGGAAGGTCGTGAGTTCCATTCCCCGTACCAAAAAAAAAGCTGTGGAGGCAGGAGAAGCTACCAGAGGGTGCACTCTTGGGAAGGGTGCAGCAGAGATCGGAGGCTGCAGGGGCAGGGTAGCCTGCAAGGCGGACCAGCAGAGCAGGACGCTGGCAGTGAGGCACCCCTCCCTGCACCCCACAGCACCGCAGAGCTCCTGGGCAGCCAGGTGGTCTCAGTGCTGTGTGCTAAACCCCAGCCATCGCAACAAGCGTTCCCTCTAGCAAATGCACCAAGAGTGACACACAGGAATTAGCTCAAGACAGATCTCAATATTAGTCTTGTACTGTAGTTTCATTTCATTATAAAACAGGTACTGAATCACATGAGCACATGCACGGCTGTCTTTGTGCATATAAGTGCTAGGATGTGTACACAGGGACACTGATGACCGGTGAAGGTTTTATTAAATAAAAATGCCTTGAGTGCTTTTATGATTACTCTGAATGTCAAATCTGTCGGTATTTTTAAAGATTTTTTTCCAATGTTCATTTGTAAACAGAAACCCCGTGCTGGTCAGAGAACTCTGATGATAATAGCATGCTGCCCCCTGCTGCCCACTTTATGAAAAACACCCAAATTTTGTCCTGAATATTTTTAGATCAATCATACCTATGCTATTCTTTGACATTCATGTGCAACTCCCTTTCATAAGAATCCTACTGTTTTAGCCTCTGACACTTCAACCTGCAAACCCAAAGTTTGAATTATTCTAGGGCAAATGAAATTCTTATCTAGAAAATAAACACCTACCCTCCTCCTCTTTACCCACTCAGCTAATCCCAGTGAGAATGTATCTTTAGGAGGATCCCTGAACTCCTGTACACTATGTATGTTCTTAAGGAAGTAGCTCTAGCTGACACTTTCATCTAGTTCCCTCCTAGTCCACAGTTCTGCCTGCTGAAGTCATGTCAAATTGCTCTTCATGATTGTCCTTACCTGTTGCGTGGGAGTTTATCAAACTCCGTGTACACATCGGTGAAGTGGATGCTCAGCTGGGAATGTGTCAAGAGCTGCCATGTTAAGCCACACTGTCCCTAGACCTGTGTAACCTGGACTGAGAGACCCATTCCGACCCAGAGAATGCTGTGTAGCAGAGGGACACTCCAGGCAGTACAAGTCTGCCTAAACAGGAACCCCCTGGAAGGGCTCATCTCCAAATGTGCAGGGGCATACAGTAAGCAACAGCGTTGCCCAGGTGCCCAAGGCCGGGCAGCGGCATTGACTGAATTTCCCTTTCCAGAGTGCCCCGCAGGAACATATGGCTATGGCTGTCGCCAGATATGTGACTGCCTGAACAACTCCACCTGTGACCACATCACCGGGACCTGTTACTGCAGCCCTGGATGGAAGGGCGCACGATGTGACCAAGGTGAGCATGTTAGGGTACAGTGGCTACTACCTCTTCTTACGTGACTTCCATGTACACGAGTTGTGTGTTTTCATTTATGTTTCCTAGTGTAATCCTCACCACAACTCTGGGTGTTGTAGCTGGTAACTTAGTTGCAGGTGGTCGCCTTAGCGCTGCTGTCCTACAGATAAAGAAACTAACGTTTAGAGAGGTGTAATTTGCCCAGGCTCATGTAGCTATTATGTAAACCATGTCACACCTTTGGTGATAGATTTATTACAAAACTCGTGAACTTCCTATTGGCCTGTCATTTTTTTGCTTTACTGATATGTAATTAACATGCAGCATACATAAAGTATACATTTTGATAAATTCTAAAATGTGCAACTGCTCATGAAGCTATTACCATAATTATGACAATATTCATCCCACTGAGTTTCCTCCCTTCCCCAGCCAGTACTATCTCTTAGCCCCCAGAAATCTCTGATCATAATAGATTTTGTCACAATAGATTAGTTTGTATTTTCTGGAATTCCACCTAAATAGAGTCACACTGTATTCCTTTATGTCTGGTTGTTATGTCTGTTCGCTCCGTCAGCGTAATTACTGTGAAATTGAACTATGTTACTTTAGAAAACAAATTTAGTTCTTTCTGTTGCTAAGAACTATTCCATTTATGGATATGCTATGATTTGGTGACTTACTCAGATGTTGGGGGACATCTGGATTCCCATCTTTGACAGCTACAGATTAAATTGCTGTCAGCAATGGTGTACTTATCCTTGTATGTCAGGTACTCTCATATCTTTGGGGTAATTATCTAGGAGTAGCATGATTGAGTCATGTAGTAGTCATTTGTTTAGTGTTTAAAGAAGATTTCTGCCTTCGTTTTTAAGTAGGTTGCGTATCATAAGCATTGGGGAGTATTTGTCACATATGTAGTCTCATCTGGGCAATTCTGCATGGGAGGTGGTGAAGGCTTTGAGAAGGTCTTTCTGCTGCGTGTGAAGCTGCCTTCCAGGGTGACAATAATAAAAGGCTTCAGAAAATTCCTGCAGTATTGTAGGTGGGATCATCTTAAAATGAGGACCATGTAAGCACTCATATTACTACTTTTAAATTCTTTCATAAAACAACTTTTGTATGCTTATTATTTACATTTGATTGCAATTTCAATTAAGTGTTATATTTTGTGATTGTATAATTATTACAAACACATTGGAATCTCACAACAAGAGCCTTGGTGCTCTTGTTTCTGGGTTGACTGTCCTGTAACAAGATCTTCTAGAATTAAAAATCCTAAGATCACAGAGATATTTACTTGACCTGAAAGCAGCTACACAGAAGCCATTTTCCTCATTTATAGGTGCAGCTTCAGAGCTTTAGGAGAAGTTCAGATGCTTAATTTCTTGACTTTCTATTGTACCATTAGGGTCTTCGCTTAATGGAAGAACCGTGTAACGCTGAATTTTGAGTGTAATTAGTAAGCGTGGGGTGTTATCAGGTATTTTCAGGAGAAATGTGAATGTCATGAAAAATAACTTTTGGCCAGATAGTGCCTTCTGAGGTTAAAAGCTCATTGAAATCAGCTAGTGGATTAGATTTCTAATGGAACTATCTGGTTTGGAAGGATGATCACTCAGAAATGCTGAAGATAAACATAAGATTAAGTGAACACTTAGGATTTATCCCCATGCATGCTCAGTACTGAATAATAAACAGCAAAATAAAAATTAGATAATTATCCCAAATTAATCATCTCTCTGAGTGTTTAACTTAAAACTTTGAGAAGTTTGCCAACCCCCGTGGTGAATCTTGGGTTCAAATCTTGTCCTTTTGAAGCTGAGCAGCCTTTCCTTAGAATAGAGAAGTAAACATGTGAAAATGCGATGTTTGCTTTCCCTTCCGATGACATTTCCAAAAACTTCCAAATTAACATTCATGAACAATAATACCGAGGTGTTGGCACGGTAGGAGATTTTTGGTAAACAAAGGTAAAACATTTATCTGTGCATCGTCACGCTTACTCAGATCTCTTTTCTCCTTTACCCCAGCTGGCGTTGTAATAGTTGGGAACCTGAACAGTTTAAGCAGAACCAGTACTGCCCTCCCTGCTGACTCCTACCAGATTGGGGCCATCGCAGGCATCATCATCCTCGTCCTTGTTGTTCTCTTCCTCCTGGCCTTGTTCATTATTTACAGACACAAGCAGAAGGGGAAGGAGTCAAGCATGCCAGCAGTTACCTACACCCCGGCCATGAGGGTCATCAATGCGGATTACACCATTTCAGGTCAGCCTGGAGTCCCGGGCGGGTTTTGACTCCTTGGAAAGTGAGCCTTGCTTCTTTGACACTGGGTGTTTGGCTGCGCCGGCCCCTATCCCCATCCATTCTCCTGGGAAGAATTGCTCATTCAGAAAAGGTGTAAGTTGTTAGAGATGTTTTACATCTTAACATAGTAAGATCTTAACTGTCGCTTTTGGTGAGGATTTTAAAAGTGGCCTCGTTGTGAGATTGCTTTGTGCCTGGGGAATTTAAGCTGTGCTGCATCCTAAGCGAGCCCCAAGTGTTGACGCATGTGAGAGCAGAGTGAAGGAGCAGGGGCTCCCAAGTTCCCCAAGGTCACAGAGCGGGTGAGGGAAACAGACAGGAACTCCTTCAGTCTCTGGCCTTTGGTACTTTCTTCAGTGCCTGCGGCCTCCCCCAGGCCAACACAAGTCAACTGAAGGGAACCAAATTGTATAAGAAACGACTTTCTGGTATTACCAGTAAGAAGTCCTTTAAGAAAACTCTCTTCGATCTTTCTGTTGTGAGCTCCCACAAAAGAAAAAGAAGACTGATTGTAAGTGACACATTCAGTCATTTGAAGAAGTAAGAAGTTAAACTGAAGAATTTGAAAACTGAAAAACTTTATTACTTTTGGGGCAATTACTGAAAGATTTCAGGCTGGTTACATGTTTATAACTACGATGATTCCGAGGGATATGTAAAGCAACTGATTTAAATAATTATATATTTGCAATGCAAAATTATCATATCAAGAAATCAAAAGTTGTCTCTCTTAAAGAGGACAGTTACTGCAGAAGGATGCCACCCCAGCTCTTAGACTCCCCGAAGCCAGGAATAGCTGTTTGTATGCTTTCACTTTTCAAGGAGATGGGTAGGAGGGCAAATGCCTGCTGCTTCTGGGAGATTTGCTTAGTGAGCTATGCAAGACGGGGTTTTGCCCAAGCTTGGTGTGTGGAAGTAGTCCAAACGTTCGCGCTGTAATTTTGATTGCCTTTTACCACATGCATTTTGGGGAGCCTGCCATGGTAACCACATCCTCCCTTCCCGCAGAAACGCTGCCCCACAGCAATGGTGGAAATGCCAACAGCCACTACTTCTCCAATCCCAGCTATCACACACTTACTCAGTGCGCCACATCCCCTCACGTCAACAACAGGGACAGGATGACCCTTGCAAAGGTAAGGGGAGAGATCTCGAGCCTCAAAAGGTGCGGGGAGCAAGCATACGATGAGTGCTGCTGTTTGCCCGGCGCTGCTCTTGGTACTTTACGTACATTGCCTACTCGATTCCTGTAAGCAGTGCTCTGTGTGTATCTCAGCATCTCAGGGGTAAGGACGAAGACCTGAGGAACAGGAAGTTTCAGTCGCTTCAAACCCCTGGCCTCTGCTGAATGAGACAGCTGCTATGTGAGAAAGTCTCCCTGTGTGTAGTCCATACCATTTGCATTACGCCTCCTTGGAAAATGTTACTCATTTAAGGACATTAATGAAAGCATAAAAGACATTAGCAGACTCAACTCTGTATAAAATCATTGTTCATCTTTTCTGATTACATGGCTTCTGATACCCTTTCCTATTTTTACTTGAATGACAGTGACAACATGTACTTATTTAGATTGAGTCATATGAAACTGCTATTTTTCTAGGCCAAAACCGGCCAAAGAGCTATTCACTTTGTAAGTATAAAATTATTTAATCTTCATGCCAATCAGGAATGATTATTATTCCCATTCTATAGATCAGGAAACTGGTGCACACACAGGCCAGAGACCCCAGGTCCTCCCCACAGTGTTCTGAACCCCAAACACTTCTCCCTTCCAGTTGTACCCCAATTATATTTTCAGTTCCCTGTAAGTGGCTCCTCATTGTCCATCTCTCTTTTAGAAGAAAACCAAGCTAATTAACTTAAACCCATTGTCACTAAATTAATGCAGCAAGATTTTAATTATGGCGCCTCATTGTTAAATAGCACTTCCTATTCTCCAGAGATGTTAATATCCACTACACCATTTGTTCTCATGCTAGTCAGGAAGAGGAAGTAGATCGTCTCATCCTCATGTTGCTCTGGAGTCAGAAGTGCTGCTGGTGTTGGAACCTCATGCTGCTCTGGCAAACTGCGGAGTTACCTGGACTCACAGTAGATCATACATGGTTTGATAAGAGCTTAGATCAAGAATTTATGTTTTTCTTCAATTGAAAGTTCCATATATATATATATGCATAAATAAATAGAGTTTAATTGGCACAAGGTAACAGAGTAAAGCGGAGAAATTCAGATCATGAAAGGTATAGATGGCCTAAAGGACCTGCATTCCTTTTCCCTCCAGGAAATGTTCCCTGAGCCCCTTGCTCAGCCTCTGAGCTGTGGCCTCGCTTCCCCCGAGACAGATAACACGGTTTTGTACAACACTGTATCCTCATTTTAAATCTTTTATCATTTTTGTTTTGAATAGTCAAAGAACAATCAGCTGTTTGTAAATCTTAAGAACATGACTCCTGGGAAGCGAGGCCTAGCTGTGGACTGCACGGGGACACTGCCGGCAGACTGGAAACACGGTGGCTACCTCAACGAACTCGGTGCGTTTCCCCTGCAGGACCCGGAGCACACTGTACTTTCTCCTCACTGACATGGTTACAGAGCCGTGTCTGCTCACTGTGGTCTAATGGAAATGTGCACTAAAAAACAAAATAGCAGCATCACACTTGAAACTTATTGTAGGGCTTTATTACGATTCTAAGTGCTTTATCTGTTCAACAAACATTTACTGAGCTCCTACTGTCAGCTAGGAATGGATAAAGAGACAAATATCTCTCCTGTCTGTAGCTTATATTCTAAATCTACACATATTAACTGCCTTAATTTCTACAAATATACTAGTCTACTAGGTATTTGTACTCATTCATGATAAAAAAAAAAACCCTACAGAAAATCAGAATAGGTGGTCTTTATCTCAATGTGATAAAAGCCATCTATGACAAACCAATAGCCAGCATCATACTAAGTGGACAAAAGCAAAAAGCTTTCACTCTAAAATCAGGAACAAGACAAGGATGTCCACTATCACCATTCCTATTCAATATAGTTCTGGAATCATAAGTTAGAGCAATTATACAAGAGAAAGAAATAAAAGGAATGAGGATAGGAAAGGAAGAAGTTAAATTAGCATTATTTGCAGATGACATGATACTCTACATAGAAGACCTCCAAAACTCTACTAAAACACTTGTAGATATAATAACCAAATTCAGTTGTATAGCTGGATACAAAATCAGTGCTCAAAAATCAATAGCATTCCTGTATACAAAGAACAAACTCAGAGAGAGATTAGGGAAACCATACCCTTCACAATAGCATAAAAAAAAAAAAATGACATACTTAGGAATCAATCTAACAAAGGAAGTAAAAGATCTATATATTGAAAATTATAGTATTCTGAAAAAGGAGACCAAAGAGGATATCAGAAAATGGAAAGATATTCCTTGCTTATGGATAGGAAGAACCAACACAGTGAAGATGGCCATACTTCCAAAACTGTTATACAGATTTAGTGTGATCCTGATCAAAATATCATTAGCATACTTCACAGAACTAGAGAAAACATTCATACAGTTCATTTGGAAACAGAAGAAACCTAGAATAGCAAAGGCAGTCCTGGGCAACAAAGGTAAGGCAAGAAGCATCACAATCCCAAATTATGTTACATAGCTACTGTGATAAAATCAGCATGGTACTGGCAAAAAAAAAAAAAAAAAAACAGACCTGAGAATCAGTGGAACAGATTAGAAGATGCAGACACAACTCCAAACACACTCAGCCACCTTATCTTTGATAAAGGGACCAAACATGTTCACTGGAAGAAAGATAGCTTCTTTACTAAATGGTACTGGAAAAACTGCTCTCTACATACCAAAAACTAAAGCTAGATCCATGTCTGTCACCATGCACTAAAGTCAAAATGGATCAAAAATCTAAATATTAAAATAGAAGCAGGTAGAAATCTTGAAGACAAAGGTATAGGCAGAGAGTTCATGAACAAAACCCAGATTGCATATATTTATTTGCAGGAGGAATACTTCAAAGAGTCAACAACTGAGATCTCATCTTATTAAAAAAGCTTTTGCACATCAAAAGAAATTACCAACAGAGTGAAAAGGCAACCCACAGAGTGGGAAAAAATTTTAGTGAATTGTCTCTCAGACAAAGGACTTATATCTAGAACATATAAAGAATTGAACATATCAGGACCCCCCCCCATATTCAAAGAACCAATCAAAAACTGGGTATCTGAAATGAATACACACTTCTCAGATGAAGAAATACAAATGGCAAATATATGAAAAATGTTCATCTGCATTGGTTATTGGAGAGATGCAAATTAAAACAATACTGAGATTTCATTTCACCACAGGGAATAGCTATCATCAAGAAAATAAAAAGTAACAAGTGCTGGAGAGGCTGTGGGAAAAAAGAAATCCTTCTTCACTGTTGGTGGGAGTGTAGACTGGTGCAACCACTATGTAAATCACTGTGGGGATTCCTCACAAAGCTAGGATTAGAGGTCCCATTTGACCCAGATACTCCCTTTCTGGGTATCTCCCCAGAAGAATTAAAAACATCATCACCACAATAGCTAAATCTTGGAAACAACTCAAATGCACATCAGCTGAGGAATGGATAAAAAAGCTGTGGTCTTTTTATACAATGGAGTACTACCCAGCCATAAAGAAGGATAAACTTGAGACTTTTACAGGTAAATGGATACAACTTGAGACCATACTCATAAGTGAAGTAAGCCAGACTCCCATGTGTAAACATTGTATTGTCTCCCTGGTGTGAGAAACTGAAAGAGTAAGTCTAAAATGCACAATAGAATTGTGTTTTTTTTAAATTTATTTTAAAAATAAAAGAACAAAAACATTAACAAACAGACATCCATTTACAAAATAGCATAAGAATACAAGCAATACTGAATTACAGACAAAGTGGTAGGAAATTAACAATGGTTGTTGTATTACATATTGATATCTTCAAAGTGGTTTCTCAGGAAAACAAATAGAGACATGCAAGATTGATCAAATAAGTAATCATTAACTATTCCTTTCAGTAAAACGATAAAAGTCAGTAGTACAACTATGTTAGCTATCCTGTATATACATATATACATAATTTCCCCTTCTTTATTTTCTCTTTATCCACATCCCAGTTGCTCTTTCCTTTGAGCAGTTTCCTTTCATTTCACAATGTCTATCATACCTCCTAATTTTTATTCACTCTTTCAGATTCTTACACTAGTGAGACAATATGTTTCTTATACAATAGATATTGTGAAATGGGCAGAAATTATTCAAAAGGAAAAAGGAACTAGGATGCAGGAAAGGAGAAAGGATGAAAGGGGAAAGGGAAAAAATGCAAGTCAGGTATACTACTAGTATCTCTTAGTTCATGGAAAAGGAAAGTTTGTGCTAATATCAATTGGAGAAATTTTAATGCCCATATCTTGTACTCTCAATAACTACTATTGTTATTCTATTATTTTGTGATGAAATTTTGCTTTACCATTTTTCAATTAAAAAAACATTTTCCAATCCCCCTAAAAGATCAGTGAAAAGAGTAGCACCCGTTTACATTATTATAACTGAACATTTTAAAATTATCTGTCTTGATAAAAATACCTGGATTTTCATATGTGCTTCTGCATTCAGTCAGCTATGATCTCACACTCCACCATACACTTGAAAGAGAATTAGAGTGAAAAAGACAAATAATGCCATTATTTTATTGTGAAAATAGTTGTTATCCTGGTGAATTTCTGAAAAGAGTAGGGGTGACTTGTCCACACTTGAACTTCAAGGCTGCGTCAGTGAGTGTACAGTACCCTTTCCAAGCATGTGGAAGGTTTCAGGGAGGTATTTGATGCTATAACTAATGTATGCATGCCTTATTAGTAACTGACCCTTTACATACATTTATTTGGTAGAAAGCCCAATTAAATCTGAATTTCAGACAAACAACAAATATTTTAATGTAAGTATATCTGAAATAATGCATGAAATATACACTAAAAATATTTTTGTCAAATTTTTTAATGAAAAAATTGTAATATTTTAAATTTTAAACTTTTTTTAAGTTAAAAAATTTTTTAAACTTCAAATTTAACTGATCTTTCTGTGTTTTTATTTGCTAAATCTGGTAATTCTGTTGAGTGGGTCTCCCACTGGTCTTACTTGAAAGGTGCATAAACCGGAAGCATGGAGAGGTTAACACTATTGTCTAAAACTCCATAGAAGAAGAGGGGAAGGCAGGTCTCATGCTGGTCTTCTGAGGCTCCTCTTTGCCTCCTCTGTGAACACCATGAATGTCAAATTCTCCAGCCTGACCCAAGAGCTGATCTATTTGGGCCCTGGAGTGTCTCTTACTGTAGAAACAGAAATGTTTCAGTAGAAAAATGAGACCAAATTCTTTCTGCTCCAGAGGTACAGCTGATATTTCATGGTCCAAACTCTCCACCATAAATCAGGTAAACAGAAACACTTGTATTAGACAGGACATTCCATGGATTTAGGAATCTCCTCCCAAAGGCCAGATCTCTCTTTCCTAAGGCTAATTCTTTACTACCAACACCGCATCCCACCTCCCTGTATAACCTTATGCCTTTCCCACCAAGTAGAAGCTGGTCTAGACTCTTCATAACCCAGACCCCAAAGAGTGTTCCTGAGAGAGGAAATACTCCAATTCCCTCTCTCTTAGTGTTTGATATTGATACAGAGGAAAGAAACTCCCAACCTGCTAGATGTCCCGTACAAAGAATGAATTTTAGGAACAACAGAGGTTAAGAGCAGAATATATTTATTAGGGAAAGAAAGCTTCCGTCTGAGAGGGAGACAGAAGGGGTCCGGAGTGGATTGCCCAGGACCCTGCCTTTTCTAAGGGTTTTCATAGAGCAAATCTACGATATGAGTCTAAGGTGGGAAAAATCGGAAATCACAAGGTGGGCATGAGGTCAGACAAAAATATGATCAGCCAGTAAGATTACAAGCATAATTGCTTAGGTAAAATTTATTAAATCAGGATTCAATGGGGAAAGTGAGTCATGTGGCAAGCTGGCATGAATACATAACATGGGCTTTCCCTGTAGGGCGTTGGGTTAGTAGCTCTTCCTCGATTTCTCAAGGTGATAGAAACCTATTTATTTACTTATTTATTTATTTTGGTTTTTCTCCGGTACCGGGAACCAAACTCATGACCTTGCGCTTGCCAGGTAGGTGCTTTTGCCGCTGAGCTAAATCCCCAGCCCCTAGAAACCTATTTAGAATATCAGTCCTGATGTGTATCCTTAGGGAGCTATGTGGGTGCATTTGTTTTATCTTTTGTCTTGAGGTCTGACCCACAGTGGAGGTACCTGTCTCTTCCACATTTGCAAGGCATTTCGTCTTTCACACTGGCTCCTTCAAGGGCCTGGTCCTATCTGACTGCCTATAATATTTTATCTAACTCAGCCGCCTATAACAGTATCAGACACATTTTCCTGGTTTAGGGAAGTCACCTTTCTCCACTGAAGCATGGTTTCCTCAATTGCCAGCAAAGAACATTACCACCAGAACCTGAGTTTAACTGCATTCTAAGAGATGTATGCCTGAGGGGGAGGGTATCATGTCCTTAACAATCTCAAATACTTGTTTTCAATGCTTATCGCAGGTCACATGCTATTAACATAAGTCTGTGAAATTCCTTTAAAAGATTTTCCAAAATGCCTGGGAATGCTTACAGATAGGCTGAATCAGGGAGGGTGGTGTAACTCAATACAGGTTACAGTAGTTGACACACCAGTCGTTTATAGATCACTTCAAAGTTTACAGAGCCTTTTTGTATGCTCTACTTCACTTAAAGATGACAGCAGTTAGTATAAAGCAGAGTTTGTGTTCCCCTTTTAGAAGAGAAAACTGCCACTCAGAGAGTTGAGCGTCTGACCTGAAGTCATGTGGGTAATAAGTTCTTTGTCTCCTAATCTGTTGTCTGTTGTCTTTTCTTCTTTGTCATAATGCGCCTCCAGTAGAATCCTAGATTCTTATTTAGTATAAAGGATGCAGTTTAGCACTTACATGCTAGAGGCTGTAAAATGGGCTACATAATAACCTGTAATTTTCTTGGTAATATTATAAATTTGTGAGGAATGAATTTATAATATTACATATGTGAAGAGTTTGTGATTAAATGCTTATTTTATTGAAGATGTTTCTGCCTTTCTTTCCTGACTTCAGATTTCATTGCATATTCTCGTTGCCAACATGCTCCATTTTTCCAAATGTGAGAGGAATATTTCTCCTCTGACCACCCTCACCACCACTGCCACCAAATAAAGGTCATATATTTTAAAATGGGAAGGCCACCTTTTTTGATCTATGTAGGCTCATACACAAATACCCCCATACCCAGAAGACTCAAACTACTAAAATAAAAGCTGAATAAAATTGGTCAAGATCTTGAGTTAATCAACAGTGTTTGAGGCTTCCTGCTTTTAGAAAACATGCTTATAGTGGAGGCAGTTATCTCACTGAATAGTAGTTACTGGGAAAGCAATTTGAAAACCACCACATCCTTGAAAGAGCTGCCCGTGGGAGTGAGTTTTCAGTTCTTCTCTTGACTGAGGCTACTCTACTATTCAGCCTTGCACCGTGTATGCTGATTTGTCTCTCCGTGTGCCTCAGCTTTACCCTGAACTGATCGTCCTTTCTCAAGTCCTTCTAAGTGATCAGGTGAAATACACATATTCACCTGATCTGGCGCAAGAGATTTGGAACAAAGGTTTGAAAGCAGAAGCCTTAGTGGTTCTCTGCAGTGGGGAGATCCTCATCCACAGTATTGGAACACTGGACAGATTTTCTCCTCCTTTCAGTTCTTATGGATGCTTCTCTTCTTTTATCACAGGTGCTTTTGGACTGGAGAGAAGCTATTTGGGAAAATCCTTAAAAGGTATGGTATTAATTTGAGGAGAAAATAAAGTATATTAGAATCATAATATTTTTAAAAAATTATCTCAGCAACTGAAATAATATAGACATGTCAGTGCACTGTTACTACACCAATGCACAAACACATTTGCCGGTGTCGAGAGTGACCGTGGGTGGATCCTGTTAGGGCAGCAGTCTTGGAGACAAAAGTTTCAGTCTGGGGAGGAAATGACTCACAGCTTGTATGGAGAGAGAAATGTAAACCAGGAAAGCATATGGTGTGTCAGTCAGCTTTTCCTTGCTGAGACAGAGCACTTGACAGCCGCCCCTGAATGGAAGAGAGACTTCACTGGTTTCATGGTTTCAGAGGTTTCTCTCTGTGGTCAGGAGCAGCTCTGTCTTGGTTACTTTTTTCTCGTTGCTGAGACAAAATACCCAACGCCCAAAATGAAGGAAGGAAAGGTTTATTTAGCTTACAGTTTGTGGAGGTTTCAGTCCATACTTGGCTGGCTCCGAGGCAAAAGGTAGCAAAGCAACAAGAGCAAGGTGGGAATGGCAGCTGAACAGCAAACAGCCAGAGCAAACTCGGAGGAATGGCGGCAAGCAGCTTCTTTTTCCCTGCCTTACTTTGTAAACAGGCTACCCCACCTAAGGGGCGTGTAGCTACCCCCACCTAAGGGGCGTGTAGCTCTCACATAATCTCCATGCCCTCCTCTTCCACAGGCTCAGGATGTATACAAAGTAAGTATCCTGGCTTCCTGCTGAGTCACTTAGCCAAACCTCTAGACTCCCCAAGTTGACACAATGTTTCAACCATAACAAGCTCCAAGGCAGAAGAGTATAGAAGAAAGCTGCTCAACTCCTGACCTCCAGAAACAGAGCAAGGGAAGAGTGAGAGCAAGAGCCAGAACAGAGAGACTCATCCAAGGCGTACTCAGGACCTACGTCCTCTCTAATGAGGCCCCACCTAATAGCAGCTTCAGCTAGGAACTCAACAATGGAATAGCACAGTGATGAGTCAGTGCCCCGTGATCTAATTACCTTTCCAGAACCTCACCTCTCAATCCGTGAGCATTCGGGGAGACACTTTTGATCCAAACCATAATGCAGAGGAAATAAGAATAGATCAGCATGGTTATGTGGTGACCAAGGTCTGCTCTTCAGGATGAGTTTAAATGACAAGTTTCCTGGGGCTGAGGTTTTACCGGGAATTATCACAGCACAAACATCTTTCTCATCATGGTAATAGAACCCTATTGTGCTCCTGAGGCCATCAACTGCTATTTCTAGACCAAAAATTCAAAGGCTTCAATTAGTAACTTCTATTAGTGAAACAGAATGGGATTAATTATATTTGAATGTGATCATCAAAATTAAATCAGATCCATGGTGTCTTCATTGGTACTTTCCCTTAGAGAGGAGCTAAAATTACTCTGTATGTGAGTAATTTGACAGCAAATTGCCTCAAAAATAAGTAATAAATGTATAGATTTATTTTCAGTGGATAGTTATAGAAATCTAGCCAAAAGAAAAAGAAGCAACCTACCCAAATAAATGATTACCAAGAAATGATGTTGCCCTTGAAAAAAGGATTTGCTTTTTTGCCTTCCAAATTTCTTCACAGATCTGGGGAAGAATTCTGAGTATAATTCAAGTAACTGCTCCCTAAGCAGTTCAGAAAACCCGTATGCCACTATTAAAGACCCACCCGTGCTTCTTCCTAAAAATTCAGAGTGTGGCTACGTGGAGATGAAGTCCCCAGCACGAAGAGATTCCCCATATGCAGAGATCAACAACTCAACTTCAACCAACAAGAATGTCTATGAAGTTGGTGAGTTCTAACCATAGAAATGTCTGATTTGGGGTGGGCAACAATTTTAATGACCCATATTTTAGATTGAGTCTGTGCATAGAGTAATCATATTACTTGAAACCAAATTAATTTTTCAGAGAAAATACCACTTACAAATTTTAAAATAATTTTCTTTAGCTTCCACATGGTCACCCATCTTTTGTTTTGTAACCGTGGTAAATATTTTAGCACACATGTGGAATCGCATATGTATCTTACTAGCTAATATACTGAGTTAGCCAAAACAAATGTTTCAAGTGGATTAAACAGGTGGCTTCACTCCCTGGTCATATTTATTATATTAATGTAATGCTCTTAGCAGGATTGGAACATTTTATTTTAAACTTGTCTAATATACCTATAATATTCTCAGAGATGAATCTAATACCAATCTGTAAGAATTCAATTTAAAATTATAGTTATACTGATTGTCCTTTGTGAATATCATTTGGGAAAGATAAAACGTATCTTGACATAGTGCTTCCCAGGTGCTTGACATAATTTCTCTATGTCACTAACTCTCTCTTAGTATGTTAGTATTTATGATTTTTACTTTGAAAAATTCTCCACAGCTTGTAAATTAAGTGACTAATTTAACACTAGAAGTGTTATTAACTTATCTTATTCCCTAGACATGTCAGTGAAAAAAAGAAGCAAGTTATCTTTAAAATATTAAGGTGGCTTTTTTGTTTGTTTTTTTTTTTTGAGACAGGGTCTCACTATGTAGTTCAGGGTAATCTTGAACTCACTGTGTAGCTCAGGTGAACCTCGAACTCAGAGTGATCCTCTTGCCTCAGCTTCCCAAGTGCCGGGATTATAGGCATTTGCCACCACACCTGGCTAAGATGGCATTTTAAAAATGGAAACTATAGTGAATTAAATTTATTTCTTCTTAAATCAGTAACAATAACCTCTTTAAACTGTCCCATAAATAGCAGGATAGGAACTCAACTCAGGGAGTAAGTCTTGAGTCCTAAAGTTATGAACATGTTGCATGTTTCTATGAATTGAGTTAATCTTTGAGAACTTCAGTCTTCTCACCTGCTGCATCAGGGGTTTGGACAAAATTATTCTCAAGGTGGTTTTTAGACAATGGCTCATACCAGGGTATTTTTTACATGACAGTTTTCTCCTAACGACGTGGATAGCGTTTTGTTTTGAATGTCATGTGCGTGGGGGCATTAGTTAGCCCAACTATAGAGTCGCCACCCCTATATGATTAAAAAAGAATTCTGTTTTTTTTTTAAAGTAGTATTAACCTACATTTTTATAAGTGCACTTCTTCTGTGTTTGATATTTATAAGAAATGACATACACTTTCTAATAAATTTCCCTTGCTGATAAGTTAATTTGTCCCTGGTTACCACAGAACCTACAGTGAGTGTTGTCCAAGGAATATTCAGCAATACTGGGCATCTCACCCAGGACCCATATGACCTCCCAAAGAACAGTCACATCCCTTGTCATTATGACCTGTTGCCAGTGCGGGACAGTTCATCCTCCCCTAAGCAAGAGGATGGTGGTGGCAGCAGCAACAGCGACAGTGGTGGCAGCAGCGGCAGCGGCGGCAGCAGCAGCAGTAGCAGCAGTGAATGACACCAAAGGACCACAAGGTGACCACTGGAACCTTTTCCAGAACTGCAGTTCAGTTCTTCTCCATCCAAGTTTTCCTCCTCAGTGAATGTTAATCAACTTGGTAGGCAATTGTTGGATGTGAATCAGAAAGCTCAAAGCTGAGGCTGGCGCTGATTGTAGGTGCTTTTTGCACAGGTGGCTTGGAAGGAGATAGCACTGTGATTTCCTATTCATTGTTTGTTTTAGAACTGCATCCATGAAGCATGACTTATTGTAAGATGTTGGCTAAAAGCATGAACTTGCAGAACTCCTTCGGAGACATGGGTGGCAGTGGACATTGGTATTATTACTTGGAAAATTACAACTTAAATTTTTTTTCTCATTTGCATCATAGAGTTATGACTAGGGCTGGGCAGTTTATCAGAAATTTGCACCATAAAAGTGGGAATCACTAAACATATAGAAGACAACATACTGTTGAGTCTTTATTGCTTAATGTTTTCCAGCTGGACTCAGAATTTCAGGAATTGTATGAATGCAGAAAAAATATTCTGTTAGGTGGCAATACTGCATAAAGTGAAGAAAACACTAGAAATGGATAGCAAATTTAAATATGAAAAATTTAGGATTTTTTAGAATGAGAAAATGTACAATTAGAAATATTTTAGAAATAGTAGGAGTATTTCAGAAGTCAGTACACAGATGTACCAGGCAGAGGTGGACTTCTTCTATGATCCTCGGCCCACTTTGGATCCATGACATTCTGAGCACTGTCGCCATCATGCGTATCTGTCATTCGAGACACGTAACATATCAGTAATTATGTCATAAATCTAGAAAGGAAATAACTTTGTATTGGACAGACTGGATTGAGTGAGTGTGTAATGATTGGTAAAGGTTGTAAATTTTACATGTAAAAAGACGCTTCAGTTTTGTAAACCGTTAGTAATACATACTGTAATATAGAGTTAGCAGAAAGTTTTGATTAATTTTCCCCTGAAAGTGATCTAAATATTTTTGTGCATATTTGAAAAGGGGCCCTTTCCTTTTATTAATTGTTGATTTAGAGAAACTATGCTTAAGCTGGTCTTTTGCATTGCTAATATGACATGTACCCCATTTTTTATTAATTTGTATTTTCATTAAGTTGTATATTCTATGTTTTGTAGTGTTTGGATTGTTAATGAAAAGCTATTGTATGTTCATTGTTTCTTGTATTATTGCCATTCATCTTTTGCTTGAATTAAAATGTATTTTTTCTTTTAGAGGGAAGAAGTGAAAACATGTAACTTAAAAAAAAATCAGTCATTACTAAAATAGTACTGTAACCATAGATGGATAGCTTTTTAATATCCCAAAATGAAATGTCTTTTGATCTTTTGATTCCCTGAATCTTTGTTAAACAGGAAGAAGGAAAATACCACATACTACAGTTGGATCTTCATAAGACCTAAATTATGGTCATCGTATAATTGACCATCCAAGCTGGGACACTTTTAGAGTGAGGACATTACTAATAGTTACCCTGTAAAGTACATAAGCCTGCATTACTCCGGGCAAACCAGAACAGATGCTCGTCCTGTGCATATTTACACAGTAACATTTTTCACTCCAAGGTAGCTGTCTCGTAAGAATGTCTAGATGATGCAGCAGAGCCAGGTTTTGTTCTTTGATCTGCATGAGCAAGCAGAGAAGCTGAAAGGCTGAGTAAGGAAGCAGCTGTGAAAGGTAAATAGTGGTCTTCCATCTTTCAAGACATGAAGCCTTGTATGACATTCTATTGGAGTGAGTCAGTAATATTTGCTAAGATATTACATATCAGTAGTATCTACAAAGCAGTGTCCCTGCCAGTTATTGAGTTGGGAAATCCACTTCTTTCATGCCACACATTTCACCCATGATGGTTTGCCTGGTCAGGTGGATAGCACAGCAAATATATTTAGTGCACTCACTCCTATGATGACTGCTTCTTTAAAGGAAGAGTAAAATTAATTCATAGAAATAGCTAATTTCCTGGAATGCACCATGAGAAACAATTACTTATCCCAGTAGTTATGTTGACCCTTGACTATAGGGATGGGCATCAAATAAGACACAAGTAGGTCAGTGGCCGCAGCAATCCTTTAGGTAGGAAACACAGTAAGACAGTTTCTGCTTTCTTTTAAAGGAGCTTCACTTCAGAACTCCACGGTAAGTTTGGGTGTCCTCGTTATTCCTTGGAGATAGGTTTTAAAAATCTATTTCTTTTCTCATTCTCTTATTTTAAAAAAGAAAGCTTCATGTGCAGAGGTAACAGTAATATAAGTAGAAAATCTGGATAACAGATGTGGACTCCAAAGGACTAGTGATATCCTGGAACATTTGTACATGAGACAATTCTTACTTACCAGTGTTCACTCAGAACTTTTCAAACACCTGAGCACATGTAGCACTTTGAATTTTGTAAAACTGTGTGTTATATTTAAGAGGTCTGGTGGAAAGGCAACATTTTTAGATTTTTTTTTTTTTAATGTAATTTCTCTCCTATATCCCGTAGTAGTCAAAGCACTGAATGAGTTTAGGGATGCTTTGCAAAAGCCATTCATATAAGAATGTAAGCCAAACTATTATTCTTTCCCTAGAAGGCAATGTATCAGAAAATTATAAATTATTTGTATTTATATACAAACCATCAAAACATGCCCAAATGATAACTGACATGCTTGCTTTAATAAGAAGAATATGTTATCTGTGGTTAATCGCATGATGTTGAGGAAGCTTCCATAATTATTTACTCTTTGACATTAGTTTTTCCCCTGTTGCACATGGTAGTGTTAACAGAGAGTTTAACGTGTTTAAGCAACTTGAGGAAAATCAACCATATAATTTTATAATAGGATAATATAACCTGTCTCAACCAAGACCATTAGTACAATGTGTATTGTGAGAAATGCATACAACGTTATGAAAATTTGGTCATCTTGACCTCCCTGAGTCACAAGAGTGGTAAGTTGGAATTTTTTTAAACCATAAATATTGTTAAAAGTTAGTGACTGGCCAAACTTTAATGTTGCTCTGTCCCACTCTGGTTGGAGTCTCGGACTTGTGTGTTTTTGTTATATATTGTTTGCAAGGTTCCAACTAAATAGGGCAGTTCTGTCAACAATTTCCAGGGCAAGAAAAACAGAATATTCAAGAGTGACAGCGATATAATTCGTGTTGATATTATAAGTCCACTTTACACTTAAAATAAAAATTTTAAAAATTAAGTTTTAAGGTGATGTTTTTAAAAATAATAAATCTTCTATCTCTGGGTAATATGTCCTTAATATTTAAACTAAATACTTAGGAGATAGTTGGGTCTTACAGGCTCTATGTCATGGAAGTGTACATAGATACAAAAATGTGAATCGCATGGTATGGACAAACACTTGTTTATTAACTATAGTTGTACAACAGGCTGCCCCATTATAGTCCTATTGGTATTGGTATCCTAACACTGGGTCTGCTTATTCTAGTTCAGTATTTAATCTAGGATTCATTTTGATAAGACCAAATCACAATATATATATTTTAAGAGGAAAAAATTCAAAATACGCTAGAATTTATTTGGTTACAGCAAACAATGCTTTCACAGTGCTGCATATCTCTATTTTCCAAAGATGGTAAACTTTTATCAGTATTAGTCTACATTGTCATTTATATCACCAAATGAGTTTATAGATTAATGTAATAAACTTTCTAATAAAAATTTCTAAGTAGTGCTTATTTCTACACATGATTCTATTGTTGAATGAGAAGAAAAGACTTATGATCCTACTGGGTAATTAATTTTTTTGTCATGTGTGACTTCATAACATCTTGCGCATACATTTAAAAACCAGTAACCCTATCATATTTAATTGTTAGCACAGATGATTTTTCTTCACATTGCTTGTTTTTCAAGGACGGAGGTGACATTTTATTCCTCTGTGGATGCTTGGCTGAGTATGGTCCATTGTAAAGAGTTTCATGTTATTTTTTGTGGATTTGCTTTTTAAATTTCAGTGTCTGTTAATGCTTTCTTAAAAGAATTTAAATATTCTTGAAACATTCGCTTATAAAGCTGTGATCTAGGATTTAAATATAGATAAAACTTTGTTTCTTCTCTTGATAGCTGTTTATCTATTGGGCCCTTATAGTTAGGGGATGCAGAGAAGCGTGACATGAGCTGTTTTCAAATCACTCATTATTTACTTAGGGAAATAAAACATCTTATTAGCTGTGTGACTTACTCTCTCAAGCTTTGGTTTCTATATTGTACTATATTGGCAATAATAGTACCTGTTTCACAGGGTTTTGTGGAGATTCAATAATTTTGTAGATATATATTTGTTTCAGTGCCAGACGCATAATGGAAATGTGGTAAATGCTAGCCAACATCACTGTTATAAAAATTATCTCATAATATAGCTAGTTTTCAATTACCTAATAAATGGTGAGGCTGCTAAATCAGAAGCAAGTATTTAATGAATATTATAAAAGCTGTATGTTCGTGTGACCATATTCTGATCTATTTTTGTGTTAACCCAAAATACCACACCTAAGTTGTTTCTTAAGAAGTAATTTGGAACATGGTAATAGTATGATTTCTACTGACGTGTTATCTTCCTAAGAGTCAGGAATGCTGCTAAATCTTAAGGGTATGGGTTTTTGGGAAGATGATGACCAATGCTCACATTCCTGTCCTGGAGAATAGAACCAGCTAGAAGAAGTCAAGGAAAGAGTGATCTCTCAAACTTGCAGTTTCCATAAACCATGTGACATCAGGTTCTTGAAAGAAGATGCAGGTAGAGGTAAAGCTATAAATGTCAGTTGTTGCGAGGTGGACTGGAGGGAGCCAGTAGACTTGGTTAAATACATAAAAATAAAGTAAAAGAGGAATGTCTCTACTTTCTTGCACTGTGCAGCAATGACAGACGCTGTCTCTTGGGTGATCTTAGGCATTGTAGGTAGAGAGTTTCAACGTCAGGCTGCTGTCAACCTACCTCTACTTGGACTTGTGAATGAAGAGGCCTTCTGCCACTTACATTAACAGGCTAAGCTAAGCACAAGTTTCCCATTGACAAAAAATGCGTACTCTAATTGTTTATATAAACACTAGAGAAATCCACAGAGTATTGAAATCCAGCACACCGTCTGCATGCATAGGCTGACAAAGATCCTAGACACTCAGTGTGAACATAGCACCTATAGAGAAGAAGAGACTAAATTACAAAACTATAATGGCTTTCTATTATGGATGTGAAGCTAATGCAGAAAATGGAAGAAAACCTGGATTAAATGTGATGTAAAACTCTTAAGGGATGTAATTATAATACCAGAGAAAGCTTCCTGGAACTAAAAATATTTTCCAGTTTAAAAAAATTCATTAAAGGAATATAAAAACAAACAGTACTTACTGCTGAGGCTGCACTCATATTTTAGAAGATGAAATGCAATAAGGAAAATTTCAAAAGGGAAATCCTGGGTAAGAAGAAAGATTGATCCACTAGTACTAATATTTAAGCAGTCACTGACCCACAAGAAGAAAAAAGGGAGTCACAGAGGAGCAGTAATGAAAGAATAGAGTTTCACAGTGTGAGTTTGGAACTTTCAGATCCTTTAGACATGAAAGGATCTACCAGATGAGTGAAATGGAAGTAATGAAAACATGAAGGAAATACATCCTGGTGAAATTTCTGAACTTGAAAGACAGAAAAACATTTAAATCATACAAGCAGAATGAAGAGATTTCTCATAAAAGAACAAAAATTAGACCCAACAGAGAATGTACAGGGCTGGAGAGTGAATGGGAGGAGGCCACAGTGGGAAGGGCAGTGACTGTGGAACAAGCCGAGTTGCCTAAGTTCCTGCTCTGCGGCAGCAAAGCTGTGCCTCTCCCCAGGACACCACGGCCACCTTGAGAAGACTGTGAAGCAGCCCCTACTCATTCTGCTTCAGATCTTTGGGCCCAGCTAGTCTAGACCAGCCAGAGACAGTGGCCTCAAAAATAGAAGAAGGAGGACTAGCATGGGATAAGAATCTGGGAATACAGAAGGACCATTTATCATACTCTAGTGAATTGCTATCGAAGAATCAGTAAAAAAAAAAAATGCAACCACAAAATTCATGGAAGCTTTACATGGACGTGTTATTCCTCCTCCTATGTTGATAACATGTCCTTCTTTACTGGATATGCTGCAGTAGAAAAATCCAAGCGGGCTGCAGAGTGGCCACTCTGCCATGATGTATTGATGATTACAATATGATGTAAAAGTACGGAACAAAATACCTTTAAACATCTAAGAGTAGAATTTCAAGTCTATTAACATCAGTAATAGAACACTCCACAAAGAGAATAGATTGCTAAACTGCTGTTGGAGTTTTCCCTTTTTTAGGCTTTTAGCTAGCTGTACAGCTGCATCTTGGGCATTAGGATAACTAGGAGAACAGGCAGCAACACTGTCTTCTCTAAAAGCCCAACCATGATCAGGACCTTGGGACATTGCTTCCCAAGTGCTTGGAAGAGAACCATAAATGCCATGCTGAAATTAAGAAAAAGAGTTAGTTATTTCTCTTGTAATATAAGATGCTTAACACTTTCTAGTTCCTCTATGGAGGCTAATATACACATTTTAAGAAAAATCTTTCTCTCAAATTTTTAACAGAATTCTGTTCCTTCAGAAACTTTTCAGTGGCTTTTCTTTGAGTAATAGGGTACAAAACTTAAAGGCAGTCTTTCAAAACTACTTGTCCTTAACTTTCTTAGAACTACTTTTTCAGGGTAAGACTCTACTTTCTTTTCTGTCTCCTTATTAGGACCAGACTTGCTTCAGGTTAGAGACAATATATGATCAGTGTACCAAGGTAAAAATATTCCTCATGAAATATGTCCTTTAGAGACATTTGTGTTAGCACAGGGTTTGTGGTGGCATTCTGATCTCCTTACTTAAATGCACTGCTCCCCTATTTCCGTGATCGTGGCCTGGTGACCCCAGTGGTAGACTGATAAATTTTTTCCACCAAGCTCTCTGAAAACATTTAGAAGGCATTGACTTATAACACCCAATTGTTCCCAAGGTGTAATCCTCCCTCTGTGGGCACTTTGAAGCTTCCAACATGACATCTCTGAATGGAGAATCAGGAAGAAGTGCTCAGTAACTCACTATTAAGTAGTACTTCTGACCACTTGTGTAGAAACACCATCCTATATTCCTCTACAATAGATGTAAATAACCTCAAGAGCAAAGCTAATAGTAAAAGATATTAAAATTGTTCAAACTGGTGAATTTTGAGTATTTATCCCTTTTAAAGATATGATTTATTGCACTATAAGTTGACATACTTTTTTATTTTTTGTTTTTTTTTTGTTTTTTTGTTTTGGTTTTTCTCTGGTACCGGGAACCGAACTCACGACCTTGCGCTTGCCAGGCAGGCGCTTTTTGCCGCTGAGCTAAATCCCCAGCCCCGACATACTTTGAATGTATAATGGCCGTACTTACCAACTGGCTCACAAAATTCCAAAAATTTAGCAGTTGGTTCGCAGAAGACTATGTGAGCTGCCTCAGCACGTCCTTAGGTTACCACAACCCTAAGGTCTCTCCATTCAGGCAGGGTTGGGAGAACGGTTCTCCACCAGTATCCAGACCACTGATCTAACTCACACAACACAGGAATTGGAACGGAGTTTGGAGCACATTTCTCCTACCTTTCTATTTTATGTCTAGAAAAAGTGAAGTTTAAAAAATTTATCTGTTTAAGTAAGCACTTATTTACTGACGATACTAGGAGCCTGGTCTCCTTAAATATGTGCATTTCTGATGTACTCATTTCCCCAGGAAAAGATGATAGCAACTGGATTCTCTTTTCCTTAATAGAGCCTCATACTAATTGCCCCTGGAGGAGTCATCTTTGATGTCTTTTCTGAGAAACATTGAATTGGAGGCTGACTCAAAGTCCCTGGGCTGCATTTAATATAGAAACTCTTAGCAGGAGAGTTTATTTATGAATTGCTATTCAGAAAAAATACACTTCTGCACAAAGCTATTTAATCATGTCATTGTTTATCACTGCACGCAGACGGTGTTCCTCAGCTTTGTGATAGAACACACGCAGGATGTTGTCCGGGATGTTTGCCCCACTGATAGAGGCTGTTAAAAATGGATGCCTGTGTCTGGAAAATGCTTGTTTTCTTCATATTGCAATCTTTTTTAAAAGATTCACTTTAATTTTCTACATACTAATAATTGATAAATAGCAATGACTATTCTTTATGCTGATTGTAGCTGCAAATTTATTAAGTAACGTCTTAAACATTTTATTTCTATTGCAGGTAGGTTTTATTTCTTGCAGAAAATAATCTAGAGCTAAGTCACTTGCCCAAGATAATTTAAAGCACTGGAATGAAAGGCAGGATTTTTCTTACTTGCCTGAGATGTTGAAAGAGAGCCTTGACAGGCTAAGCTGAAATGTGGACCTTCAGCAATAATGCATTATTTAAAAAGTGGAGAAGAGGAGGTAAGAAAGCAGGAATAAAAGATGCAGAGACTCAAAATATTCTTCTTCTTCCAAGAGAAAAGCGTATGATTGCGATGAATATCCTTAGACCTTGAATGAGGAAACATGAGGCTATGTTAATTACTAGAAAATAAAGTATTATTAAGAGTGCTTTTTCCCTTAGTGAGGTAACTGACTCTTCTACAAGCTCACTGCCTGGTAGAGATAAAGTAAATATTCATTAAAT